CTCTCTCTCTCTCTCTCTCTCTCTCTCTCTCTCTCTCTCTCTCTGAGATGGATTTGTTTGTGTTGCTATGGTTATGAGTCTTGCTGCTGCAGCGTAACTCATGGTTACCACTTAACAGAGCACTGCTGTGATTGATGAACACTGTGTTTTGTCTGCTTTAAAACGGCTTTCAGTAAATTACAATGATCTACGTCTAACCTGACCAGATAAAAGCAAAGCAGGGATGAAAATGACCCACAAAGGTTTTTCTATAAGAAAAAGAAGAGCCTCAAAGGTTTGTTAGTGAGGATTTTTCTGCTTTTTCTGTTTTGTTTTGTTTTACTTCACAATCTTTGCAACCATCATATATTCGTGATGGCTTCAAGACTGCAAACTTAAATGTTTGCTGTACCTTGAATGAAGTAAATCTATTAGTTCACAAATATATTACATCTTTGATTTGTGAGAATGCTGATACAGCACACACTATTTTAAAGTGTTGTGGTAGTCGTGATACTTATAAAATAAAAGTCCAAGCCTGCAGCTAATAACAGGCCTCAGTATAATCAAGAGAATTTATTCTCCTTTGACGGCTTCACCGAACTCCACCTTTGATCATTCAGCCCAGTTATTTTTACCTGTGTTGTAAAACAAACTGGCGATGAAAGTGCAGTTCCTGAAGAACGTGTGCGTGGAGGTGATGTCCTCAAAGTAGCACTCCTCAAACACCGAGTCTTCAAACACCATYGACTTCATCTTCAGATTCAGGAACCTGTGGACAGAGTTTTTTTTAGGTCGATCAGAAACGTTTTACAACAGCTGGATGCTTTTTATGAAGATTAACCCTAAAACTGAGTTACTTGTCGTTGAAATAATGTCCTTCACGATGAACTTGGTTTTCCAGGGTGAAGTTAAATGTGACGTGCTCCACTCGCTCCTTAGTGAAGGTCTTGGTACGGGACTCGTACTCCTGCTTCTGGATGTACTTGATCATGTCAGGGAACCACACCGTCAGGCCGTAGTAGCTGCAAGGGCGAGAGAGACAAAACAAAGGAAAAAGATAAAGCACAGAAAACATCGTGACCAAAGGATCATGTAAAGTTTCTGTGTTCTTTGTGTTTTACCTGAAAGACATACTGAACCAAACAGCCATGAGCATGAAGGTTGTCCGTTTATACTCGGGGCTGAAGCAGGCGAGGATGTTGTTCCGGATCTGCAATGCAAAGGAAGAAAATGTTACAGATTTCTGAGTGCTGGACAAACTTTAATGAACTTCAGTTCCAAATTACTCATGACTTTTTATTCAGTAGGCGTAAAAATGTAGGTGGATGGTAGGTGGAGGCTGCAGAAAGTAGCAGAAAGTAGGCTGAATGCAAATCAAGATTGGTCAGAAATCTGGTTTAAAGCTTCATGCAGAGCAGTGAAGATGCAGTTATGTGTAATGGTTAAAAAGGAATCTTAATGTGTTTAAATAAAAGTAAGTGTTTAAATAAAAGTATATGTTTCAACATTGTTTCCTTAACTTCACAAATGTTCCTTCAGGCAGGTCTAAGCTGTAAAATCCCTWGTATGCAATAAAAGTACAGCAGGTAAAATTTGTTTGAACTGATTAAGATGATGTCTGCCATGTTTGTAGTTTCAGGAGTTTCGCTGACCTGCTGAGAAAGGCTCATAATTTTCAGTCTGTAGCGCTGCCAGACTGGGGTTTCAGCACCAATGTCCACCAACTCATCAATCTGCTTCACCGTCTTAATTGTGGTGACCTTCGATCAAACAGGTACAAGTTATTAAAGGTTTTGATTGTGACAATCAATGGACTAAAAGTGGGGATTCTTCTAAAAAACATATTCACTGAAGCTCCATTAATCATAACCTGACAGAAGAGTAAGTATAGAGTATTTTCCTCATAGATACTCACAGTAAACACCCTCTCTGGGTGTCCTTTAGCTCTCATGTTTGTGTCGTGGACTTGCTTCAAAATCATCCAGCCCTCGTCGTGCTTGCCGTTCTGATCAAAAGAGATCGAAAAAGACGAACAGTAATTGTGCATTTATTGGTAAAACATAGCAGATATATTTATATGTGAGTCGTTAACAGGCTCATCGGCTGACCTCTAAGTAGAATCGCGGGCTCTCGGGCATGGCGTTGAGAGCAGCGATGGCCGCGACAGACGGAAACGCACACACCAACACAAACACACGCCAGCTGTGGAACTGATACGCTGAGCCCATCTGGAAACTCCAGCCTGCAAGGGAAGAAGAAAAACATTTCACAAAAGAATTGCTTCATTTTTGATGCACTATGAAGTCTCAGGTCAGCTGGTCTTGTATTCATCGAGGCTTTTCAGTGGGGCTGGGTATCTTTGAACGATGGGGATGCGTCCTTAACCTGGTGTCTTTAGCCTTGTTGTTGGAACACTTCTTAGTCACATTGAATGTTGCGTTTCAAARTTTCCATTGTTCCCACATCCTTCCCACATTGTCCATCTAGGCTTGCTGTATAGTAGGAGTCCAACTGTGTTAACYCTTCTGCTGCCCTTAAGTTCTTTGGCCTCAGTCACACATTGTTTGTTCCAAAAGCCCATTTCTCATTAGAATGTCCTGGATCTCCAATATCTGACATGTACCTTGTTAATCCATGGTCCAACTAAGCTATGTTAGCATAATTTAAATGCAGGTTGTTCATTATGCACCAAGGTTTAACATAAAATCTGCACGGAGGTTTGAACCKTTGATCTTCTTTTTCCAAGTCACGCAACAATACCACTGCTCCAACCACCCAGATTTCTGAATTAGAGAGGTTGTGGAGTAAGACCTCAGTGGTTGTCAGTGTACAACGGGGGCTGTGACTCCCAGACTGGTAGAGTGGCTCCAGCAGGTCCCAGCAACAAACTCAGAGATCTCTGTCCAGAAGARCACAGTCCTAGGAACATCTAAGAAACATCACAAAACCCCTCAGGCTCCTGGTCCTATAGGACCTCAGGTTGATGTGAGGTGGAACTATCTATYTGGGATAAAACAGAGTGAGCTCAACTTTAGAGAGTCGTTCCTTTATGAGTATACCATTTTTGTTACTCTTTGGTAGAGCCATGTTCMTTGTCTTTACAATATTTATAGAAATTCTAAATGTGGGTTGTATGGAGGGTAGYTTGCTAACACCAGAGTGCCATCTTGTATTAATCTATTATTTGCACCAAAATTGCCAGATTAGATGATCCAAAATGTTCAAATTTAAGCAAAAGCAAGACATAAAGACTATGGAAGATAAACAACATAGATTAGGATTGGATCACTGACCCCGTGTTGGCATGTCATTCAGATTTCTGCACATTACAGACCATGTTTGTAAACTGAATTCCTTTTATTTAAGTTTCTTAATGTACTTTTAAAAAGCTCGTTAACATTTGTTTTTTTTTCCAACAACATCAACTAATTACCCAGAAAGTCTTTGCCAAAAATCGGATTCCCTCTGCTRTCCCACCCACATTCCTGGCTCATTTACAAAACTAAACCAAAAATAGTGATGAATAGAGATGTGTGTTTGTGGTGTTGACTCACACTGAGTTGGTGTWATAAGTGGCTTTGTTGTTAATAAAAACGTGTTCTATTCCGCTGAAACTTGTTGKAAGTTGATTTAAACTCATAGTGGACAGGTGTGCTTCTCATTTTGTTAAGCTGAATGCAAAGTCCAACACTGCTGAGAAACTAAACAGGAGCTCAAGGACTTTCTTTTCATGCTACAGAAGTTATTAAAGCTTTTAAGCTGCAACTATTTTAATTTCACACCTACCATAGTGTGGGATGATAGCCCAGGCCATAGCTGAAGCGTAGATTCCCCCAATCATCCAGAACATGCAGAGCCAGCTGAGGTGCTCGCCACGTTTCTCTTGGGCCAGAAACTCAGAGTAGTAGGAAAAGACGATGGGGATTGAACCACCGATTCTGTAAAATWCAGAGACCAACGGAGCCCACAGGTGAAGTTTACTGAAGATAACGTTTTAAGTTAGAAGGAACGGTCTTTTATTTCAAACTGGATAATCTAAAAAGTGCGTAAACTTATTTTAAACCACTGTATTTAATATGCTAACTGCTGGAATTTAGTGCTGAGAACAAAACACAACCAAACAAAAGAGTCACTTATTTATACAATAAGATTTGGTTGAACATAACAGTAGATCTAAAGCATACATAAATTATATTTCATGAGGAAAAACTTCATAAAGCACCAYCTATTGGGATTCAAACGAAAACCCTGAATTTAAAATGAGCTGTTTTTTATTATTTAGCCAAATGTTTTGTATACTACTAGGCAGATTTTTTTATGAAACTTTGCAGAATTTGACTGAATCCGTGCAAAAAAATAAAAAAGCAGAAATTCCCATGAGAAAAAAACTTCTGAAAACCAATGCATTAAAATGTGACTCTTTGTCATTATAAAGAAATTAGAGGGGGTGGCTCAAGATCCTAAAGCATTACTTGTGTGTGTGCTCAGTGGGGACATGATTGATTTGAATGCAGCAGGAATTCTGCTGACTTTTTAATTTACCAGTTCACTAAAGCAGAGGATAAGTCAGGAAGCAGTTTGTTTTGTGACACTTGTCATCTGCAGCACTAAAACTGTCAGCTTAAGTGAAATAATGTAATGTTCTGCTCAGATTAACAATATACAACATCATGTTTCACTTATTCAGAAGTTTAACTCTATTATACTGTATTAAACAGGTGTTTGTAATGATGTGTATTATTCTGTATTCAACTGAATAATAAGTGCAGCAAATTAGAAATCAAAATTAGACTTATATATATATTCAGATTTAAAAATGTGAGATTTGTAATTACCCAACACCCGAGAGGAGACGGCAAAACAGAAAGGTGCTGTAACCCTGAACGAAGGATGAGAAGAAGGAGAAGACGCTGTTGATGGAGAGAGAGATGAGAAGAGACTGTCGACGGCCTATCCGGTCCGCCAGAGCCCCCCAGAGGAAAGCTCCGACCATCATCCCAAAATATACAATGAGCCCTGGTGAAGAAGCAAACAAAACAGAAAAGTTTGAAACATGACCGTCCGTCCGTTTTCTGCCGCTTATCCGGGGTCGGGTCACGGGCAGCAGCCTAGGCAGAGAAACCCAGACTTCCCTCTCCCCAGCCACTTGGGCCAGCTCATCCGGGGGAATCCCAAGGCGTTCCCAGGCCAGCTGAGAAACATAGTCCCTCCAGCATGTCCTGGGTCTTCCTCTGGACCTCCTCCCAGCGGGACGTGCCCGGAACACCTCACCAGGGTGGCGTCCAGGAGGCATCCTAACCAGATGCCTGAGTCACCTCAACTGGCTCCTCTCGACATGGAGGAGCAGCGGCTCTACTCTGAGTCCCTCCCAGATGACTGAGCTTCTCACCTCCAGACACCCTGCGAAGGAAACTCATTTTGGCTGCTTGTATCTGTGATCTCGTTCTTTCGGTCACTACCCAAAGCTCGTGACCATAGATGAGGGTAGGAACGTAGACTGACTGGTAAATCGAGAGCTTCGCCTTCTGGCTCAGCTCTCTTCACCACGACAGACCAGTACAGCACCCCCCATCACTGCAGATGCAGCACCAATCCGCCTGTCGATCTTCCGCTCCATTCTTCCCTTATTCGTGAACAAGACCCCGAGATACTTAAACTCCTCCACTTGGGGCTGGACCTCCTCCCCGACATGGAGACAGCACGCTACCGTTTCCGGCTCACGACCATGATCTCGGATTTGGAGGCAYTGATCCTCACCCCGGCTACTTCACACTCGGCTGTGAACCACYCCAGTGAGAGCTGAAGATCACRATCTGATGAAGCCAATAGGACCATAATATCCGCAAAAAGCAGGGACGTGATCCTAAGGTCACCAAAAAGGATCCCCTCAACACCTTGGCTGCATCTAGAAATTCTGTCCATAAAAGTTACTGTATGAACAGAATCGGTGACAAAGGGCAACCTTGGCGGAGTCCAACTCTCACCGGAAACGAGTCTGACATACTACCAGCAATGCGGACCAAGCTCTGGCACCAGTCGTACAGGGACCTAACAGCCCATATCAATGGGCCTGGTACCCCCCACAGGAGTCCCCGAGGGACACGGTCGAACGCCTTCTCCAAGTCCACAAAACACATGTTGACTGGTTGGGCGAACTCCCACACACCCTCCAGGACCCTGCTGAGGGTGTAGAGTCCGCTGTTCCACGACCAGGATGAAAACCACAGTGCTCTTCCTGAATTTGAGATTCAACTATCTGATGGACCCTCCTCTCCAGAACCCCAGAATACAGTAGACCTTACCAGGGAGGCTCAGAAGTGTGATCCCCCTATAACTGGAACACACTCTGTGGTCCCCCTTTTAAAATAGGGGGACCACCACCCCGGTCTGCCAATCCAGGAAACTGCCCCCGATGTCCACGCGATATTGTAGAGTTGCATCAACCAATGCAAGCCCACAACATCCAGAGCCTTAAGGAACACCGGGCGAATCTCATCCACCCACGGCGCCTTGCCACCGAAGAGCTTTTTAACCACCTCGGTGACCTCGGCACCAGAGATTGGAGAGTCCAACCCAGGGTTTTCAGGCTCGGCTTCCTCATGGGAAGACATGTTGGCAGGATTGAGGAAGTCTTTGAAGTATTCCACCCACTGACCCACAACATCCCGAGTTGAGGTCAGCAGCACACCATCCCCACCATAAATAGTGTTATTGACAAACCACTTTCACCCCGAGATGCCAGATGGTGGACCAGAATCGCCTCAAAGCCATACGGAAGTCTTTTTCCATGGCCTCTCCGAACTCCTCCYATGCCCGAGTTTTTGCCTCAGCAACCACCCGAGCCGCAATCCGCTTGGACTGCCGATACCTATCGGCTGCTTCCGGAGTCCCACAGGCCAAAAAGACCCGATAGGACTCCTTTTTCAGCCTGACAGCATCCCTCACTGCCGATGTCCACCAGCTGGTTGAAGGGTTGCCGCCATGACAGGCACCGACAACCTTACAGCCACAGYGCAGGTAAGCCACCTCGAYTATGGAGGTATGGAACATGGCCCACTAGGACTCAATGTCCCCCACCTACCCCGGAATGTGTTYGAAGTTCTCCGGAGGTGGGAATTGAAGCTCTGTCTGATGGGAGACTCTGATAGACGTTCCCAGCAGACCCTCACTATACGTTTGGGTCTGCCTTGTCTGATTGGCATCCTACCCCACCAACGGAGTCAACTCACCACCAGGTAGTGGTCAGTTGACAGCTCTATCCCTCTTCACCCAAGTGTCCAAAACATGCGGCCGCAGATCAGATGAAATGACAACAAAGTCGATCATCGAACTGCAGCCTAGGGTGTCCTGGTGCCAAGAGCACATATGGACACCCTTATGCTTGAACATGGTGTTCGTTATGGACAATCCATGATGAGCACAGAAGTCCAATAACAAAGCTCCGCTCAGGTTCAGATCGGAGGGGCGTTCCTCCCAACCACGCCTCTCCAGGTCTCACTGTCATTACCCACATGAGCGTTGAAGTCCCCCAGTAGAATGAGGGAGTCCCCATTAGGAGCGCTCTCCAGCACCCCCTCCAAGGACTCCAAAAAGGGTGGGTAATCTGAACTGCTGTTAGGCGCATAGGCACAATCAAAGTCAGGACCCGTCCCCCCACCCATAGGCAGAGAGAGTCTACCCTCTCTTTCACTGGGGTGAACCCCAACGTGCAGACACTGAGATGGGGGACAAAAATTATGCCCACTCCAGCTCGGCGCCTCTCAGCATGGGCAACTCCAGATTGGAAGATTGTCCAACCCCTCTCAAGGAGACTGGTTCCAGAGAGGTGTGAATAGGTGAGTCCGACTATATCTAATTGGAACCTCTCAACCTCACACACCAGCTCAGGCTCAATCCCCACCAGAGAGGTGACATTCCACGTCCCTAGAGCCAGCTTCTGTAGCCGAGGATCGGACCGCCAAGGTCCTCACCCTCGACCACTGCCCAACACACATTGCACCCGAACCCTACTGCTCCTCCCACAGGTGGTGAGCCCATGGGAAGGGGGACCCACGTCTCCTCTTCGGGCTGTGCCCGACTGGGCTCCATGGGCAAAAGCCCGGCCACCAGGCACTTGCCAACGTGCCCCACCTCCAGGCTTGGCTCCAGAGTGGGACCTCATTGACCCGCGTCCGGGCAAGGGAACACTGAATCAATTTATGGCACTCATCATAGGTGTCTTTGGGCTGCACTTTGTCTGATCCCTCACCTAGGACCTGTTTGCCTTGGGTGACCCTACTGGGGGGCATGAAGCCCCCGACAACATAGCTCCTAGGATCATTGGGACACTCAAACCTCTCCACCATGATAAGGCAGCAGCCCATGTCAATTCCAGAATTTGAGATTTAAACTTCTATATTTACTGTTGAACACATGTTCTTTCTATTGGCCCTGTTTTAAAGGTAAACGTGAATATATCTTTTTGTTTGTTTCCTGTCAAAAAAAAATTAGCCAATGCATTTTAAACTGCCTGTGACATCATTTTTTGTAATAAATATGAATTTTTGGAAAGATAACATTGCTAACATATTGCAAAAAAAAGGTTTCAAGCCTCTGGGATAAATGGTTGTTGAGCTATTTGCATGTGACGTAACAGGAAGAGATGTCAAAGGGGAATGTCTGAATGTAAACAGGGCATTGCTTCAGTGAACAACGACACAGACTGTAGAAAACAATCTGATGTGTCATTCAATTGTTTTTAATCACTGTCAAAGAGAGATGAAGAACAGTCAGAGTTCAAATATTGTTGTTTCATTAAATAAAGACCAGACGGTTCCCATTCTTAGAGTTCCCCTTTGATATCACTTCCTGTTTCACTTAGGGTGAGCCAAGTTCAATATGGTAGTTATGTGACAAAATGAGTAAAATTGCATAACTTGCCAAGGTTCATTAATATAAAGATGTTTTCTTTGACTTTTTGTATTTGAAGGATATGAATATCACAGGTACTTTAAAACACCAAAATGCTGCCATTCATTTACCTCAAATATATTACCTACAAAAAAGCAAAAGTACAAATTTTGAAGAGTTGTGGGTTATCCACATGGGAACGTTTTTATCTGAGTATGCAACATAAAAATTATATTTTTTTGAAAACAAGTAATGCAATCTTTTTAAAACGATGATGTCTAAGCTCCACCTCTTGAAATCTCCATAGTWTCTGGAACTCTCTTATCTGACAGACCCTGCTGCTAGTGTGCTGGCTCAAAATAAATGTGTGATTAGTGTGATGAAGGCGCAAACGGCCAAGAGCAACAATGACTCATTTAGGAGTTTTAAATAGTCCAAGAACTACACTTGAAGCTACAGAGCCCTCGAATACATCACTACTGTTTGTGTATTGGTTAACGAAAAATATTTTATTATTTAATGAACGTAAAATGTGTTGTTATACTGAGCATGTATCACATTTAAGTCTTACCAAGCATGCTTTTGTTGGGCTCAGACAGACACATGTCCTTCTCTGCACTGGGAAGGACAAACCCCACCACAAAGATTTCTACGCCGTCTGCCATGAGAGCCAGGCCCAGCACAAAGTACAAGGACCACTGGAACTTGCCATGACCACATTCTTGTAAAATGGTCTCATACTGCTGAGCCAGCTCCTCCTGGTCCTTCCTCCTCTGGGCCTCCGACACCCCGATATCTCTGAACTCCTGGGCTCCGGCTGCCATGGATCCCGGACCTCCCCCCAGGCTTCCCTTCCCTGAATCAGCTCTGGGTATCCCTTGGTACTCGCCCTCGTAGATCTCGTCGTCCTCGTCATGACCCTCYGTGGAGTCGCTGTGGCCGCCCTCATCATCGTTGGCTGCCTGGCTATCGCTGCGGTAGTAGCCTCCATCCTGGCTCCCCTGCATGGGGTAGTCATCATCTTCGTCTTCCTCAAAGCGGCTGTAGGATCGCCGGCTGTACTCGTCGTTCACCCGATCCACGGAGCGGCCCACCTTCTTAGCAGCTTGCCGCTTGACTTCTTTGGCAATGTCTTTGGCACCTTTCATGAAGGCAGTCCGGTTTTGGTAGCCGTCCTCCATTTTTGAGAAGATTCAGAAGAAGTGAGGTCAAAGGTCAAGCTGAGAGGCCCCTTGAATGTGTTGGGGCTTCAGGCTGGTCAGGATGTACTCCAGTTGGAGTGTTGACTGACAACAGGCTCTTCTTGTGCCTGAGGAGAAAATGAACATTTGAAAAAGTTCAATTAAGATTTATAAACAAGTAAAACAGCCAACAACATTAGATTACATTTTTGGAAATCTTAATTCCTACTGAAGAGGAGAGGTTTCAAGAGGAAACCGGTCCATTACTCCACTTTGAATGTTTATTCGCACACTTACAAAGATTATCACAGTGCTGTGACCCATCCCGTCTCAGGGGACAAAACGGTAAAGCTTAGCATTGATTTTATAGTAAACCGTCACACACCAAATATGATAGCCTAGTAAACAAGAAAGTACCCATAATACAGTTCTACATACCTGACATATAAAACATTGTGTTTATACTGCTGGAGCGGGGCACATGTTAAATAGAGACTTATAGATTCTCTTATATTTCTGTTTAAGTAAATAAACAAAGTATAAAACATCAGAACATGTTTAAATTTCAATTAATCAACCACAAATCCCAAAACTACAAATAAATTCCCAAATGATTGTCTGACGGACCCTAGCCTGGAGTGAGCAATTTACTTACTCCTCTGGCTAATAAATGTGCTCTTGCTTGTAGAGGTTTTTATTTATAAGCACCATAGTGTCTCATATTTCATTGATATAATATGATGCTTTGTTTTTCTTCCTCATCTAACCGTCTGTGGTTTTTTTCGTTTTTCTTTTTAAAGGTAGTGCGACGCCTGCTGGTTGCTGCATGACCTGTACACCTGTTCCCCAATGTTTTGTCATGTCTATGTCTTCTTGAATGGGTGTTCTTAAATGTAATGTCATTGTGCTCCGTACAATGACAATAAAGGCATCATCATCATCATCATCATCATCATCATCAATATTATTATCATCATCATCATCATCAATATTATTATCATCATCATCATCATCATCATCATCATCAATACCAGGCACAATGATGGAGCCAAACACCAAAACAACCAAGCTTGTTGTGTGTTAGATAAACATACTAAAATTTTTCTTCAGGAGTGACGGAGGGTCACAAATAAAGCTGCATCATTGTGGCATGTCACTACAGAGCCCGCCCCTCAAGGGGACATGGGGGATTTTTTTTCTTGTACTTCACAATACTTATTGCGTTCCCTTGTAAAAGCCTTGTTGTGCCTTGTTGTTGCTCACCATCATATGGGAGTTAGCCTACTATTTTGATTCAGCTTTGGAATGAACACAGCTACTCTTGTAATATGCAAAAATTTTAAATACGCAGCCACACAATTTCACCTACAATTTCCCGAACTTGTGGCAACATATCCTGATTCCTGTTTTGGTAATAATAATAATAAAATTTATTTTTATCTCCCTGATATGTTATTTTCCCTTTCTTATAACAAATCAAACACCCACCTGTAGTAATTTTATTTCATTTTATACCTGTTGCTATTTCAGTGTCCACCCAGCRTGTGCTCTCTGCTGAGTCACTGAAAGGTCTGAGTTGCAGTTAAGAGACGAGACATCAAGCCTTGTTGGAACTTTCTTGGTGCTTTGAGTGCCTCACATTTAGATGAAGAGCTGCACAAATTGTTTTAGTGTTTTTACACTATCGCTTCTGCACGAAGTTAGTTTTTAAAAATTCCCAAATCTTGCCCTATATTCCAAAATAAGGCCMAAAATCCTCTGAGTGTTTCAGTAATGAAAGTTAAACAGTAATAATACAGTGAATATCAAAAAAGGAAGCAACTTAGCAAAAGCCTACTGCGTCAAACCTTGTTGATACAGTTAAAGACCAGGTTGATGATAATACATTAGCAGTGCAGATGAGATAAGTCCCACAGCAAATGAGCCTTGAAATTAAAAAACAAAAGACGTCTGTTTTACCCGTCTGCTGCAGGATCGTTCTACAGAAACCTGTTGTTTAAAGAACCTTTTTAAGGCTCCAACATGTTCCTGCAGCTGATGAGCCCGACGCACGTCCATATGCTTGTGTGTCGGGACTCTGTGCCTCGGGGTGACCGTGCAATAAGACAACATGWCACTTTGAATTAGTGCTGCAGCGAAGCAGCAGACAGACGATCATGAGACGTCACTGTACTTTCCACCAGGGCTTCATAAACAACCTCTGACAGGTAATAACGGGCCAGGCCAAGCATTTTTTTAAATGGAAAGTAGGTTCAATATGCACAGAACTAAACAGATGATCATAAAAATAGAGCAAGTGATAAACAGCTTTTCTATAGCCAATAAAAAAGACCTGGAAGTCAGGACCTCTTGATGAAACGTCTCTGTAAATTCTTTGCAATGTCATACAAAAAACTGGAAATATTTCAATTTGATAACTACAGTAATAGAAGAATTTCAATCATTTTGTTTTGAACATGCCACATTTAGTTTAAAAAACGCCAACTTGACTTTATTAAAACAACATCAGAGCGGCACATTGAACTTAAAAATGTTCATTCTGGCAGTTATGTTGGTGGATATTTTCAAGTTTGTAATGTATGTTTAAAAACCTGTTATTGGTCACTGTAGTAATCTCTTGGCACACATCAAATCTTTTCTCACATAAAAAATAGATGCAACATCCTTAGTTTAGTTCTGTCTGCACAAACATTGAAATTCCAGCCCTGAAACTCTTTWTAGTTCTAAAGCTTTAGATCCAGACAGTCCAGATGTTAAAGGGATGCATTAAACCTATTGAAGTGGGGTTCTGTGGAAAAATTATGAATAATTAATATCTTATCTGCTGGAGATAGCTCTCAGTTTGGAGAAATACTTTCATTCTGACCAAAGTGATGAGCTAATGTCTGTCTGTCCATCCATTGATTTATTTTAACCCGCTTCTATTTTCCAGATCACAGAGGACAGGGGACACCCTGGACAGGTCACAAAWCCAAAACTTGGACACATAGAGACAAATATACATTTTCTGTCTAGTCTAATAGCTTTKTATTTCTGCATATGGGTAGATTATGTCACACTTAAACTAATTTATTTTCTGGTTTACATTGAATTTGTCAACACTAAATGGCTTGCCAGTCTCTGCGTGTATTGATTTGGTTATATTGTTGTGTTTTATCCAGAGATCCAGTTCCAGTCACGGGGCAGCAGATCATTTCCTGTCAGCTTCAGATGAAAGAAACCCAACAGACCTGGTCAGAGAGAATAAAATGTCCGATCCTGAAGTTGATCATCGTTGACGAGGCCTGCTGTTTTTTCTCCTCCAAAAATAACCAAACTGTATTCAGTCAGCATTTTCAGATTGCTCACTCATTCTACAGGAGGTGTCACTCATATGCTTAAAGGGATAGTGCAGAAATTTTAGAGTGGAGTTCTGTGGTAAGATTAATACGTGATGTTTTACCTGCTGCAGACAGTTCTTTGACCAAACTCAGTTGACCAGACTGATGAGATAACATCTCTGAATGAGGTGCCATCTTAAAACTGCTCCAAACTCAAAGTTTCCCCAATGGAACATGCAAACACTTGTTTTAAACCCTTTAGCTTCACATTATTCCAGCAGAAAGGGTTGGGCACAATCGTATCGTGTGCAATTAATGGTCAGAAAAACATTAATCGATTACTTTTTGGCACTTGACAATTAATACGATTAACGCCACCAGGCAGACCAACTGGGGATTACTCCGGTCAGTCCGCTCAGTCCTCTCCGCTTCAAATATGACGAACATTAAAAACAAAGTTCTGTAATTTATTCATCTAGCAATACAATTTAAAATTTGATGTATAGCCTGAAGTCTGTATTTTTCACACAATTTGGAACAATTTTTTACCAAGAGCAAATCTTTCCCACTAAATTGGTCATGTGACTACAAAATAAGGGTGTCCAGGGACTCCAGGGGATTAATCGTCAAATTAATCGTTATTGGCTAAATACCACAATTAATCGTGATTAATTTTTTTGCCAATATTACCCAACCCCTACTGCAGAAGGTGCTTCAGGTTGCAACAAAATCACTACTGTGCACACCTACAAATAAGCACAGAAGTCTTTGTAAATGATTGTGTAACGCAAAAAAGACAGTGTCGTAAATGTTTATAAAAACATTTGTTTGCAAAAACCTGTATAAAACTCCACTTAGCTCAGTCGAAAATAAAACACTTCTCCAAACTCAAAGTGTTCAAAGAGCTAACAGGTAAGATACTGATGATTCATAACCTTTCCACAAAACCCTAAGCTATCACTTTACAGTTTTCTTATTTCTCAGATCAGAAAGACAATCTGATAGGTCCAACATCATCAGGCAATGGTTTGTAACTCACAACACGATGCTGATAAAATTTCCCTCACTCTACTCCCCATTCCTCAAACACTCTGAGGAATTGTTCTCACCATAAGATGGAAAGTATCTCCACTCGACTGTTATGACAACAGTAAAACCATAAATGTGAATCACGCCCAGTCTCTTGCAATGCAGCTCCCACCGTTAAAATTTACAATAGTTGTAAGAAATGTAGCAATAGTTTAAATCAGAACATCCTTCAGAGTGCAACGTCATATTCACAACACGACAAATCAATTTGACTCCCTTATCCGCACACAACGACACAGAGACTTGTCGTTGCGGTAGCACTGACACACTCACTGACACATAAATGTAGTTTTGCGAGATAAACTCGAAATTTTGAGCGAGAAACTGGGTTTTGGACGTAATCAGTTTTTGCTGTTTGCTTTTTTTTTCTGAGAAAATGTCAAAAATTAATCAAGAATTGCACCAAAGCAACTGAGAAAAACTGTAGCAGCCTGTTTTAATTTAAAATGATAGATAGATAGATAGATAGATAGATAGATAGATAGATAGATAGATAGATAGATAGGCTGTTTCTCACACTTTATCTCTGCTGTCAAGCTGACAGCCTGTAAAACATAGGGGGTGAGGAAGAGGAAGGCCTGAGGATGAAGAGGATTGCTTTTTTTATTGCTCCCTCGGAGAAACACCCCTTTCWGTTGTTGTCTTTATTCTCTCTCCTCCATTTAAATGAATCAGTAGCAGCACCGGCGCTATTTTAATTGGAAGTAGAAGCTTTTTTTCACATCTGTACGGTGTGTTCTGATAAACAATCTGCCAATTAAAAACGAGTTCTCCCTGAAAGGTCCAATAATAAACCTGCAGAATAATTATGTGGTGATTTAGCTCCGTCAGCAGCAACAGGGTGAATCAAAGAGCAATCTAGTCCTCGGTGAAGAAAGAAATAAAAWAAATAAATAAATAAATAAATCAGAACCCAGGCCTCGTCGCGCTAACGAACCAATTCAGCCTCCACATGCGGCCGATTCAGTCCCGAGCAGCAGCTCAGAGTGTCCGGGTCTGCAGCCCGACAGATGCGCTCATTCTTTGAAATCACACGGCGCAAGCAGCTCGTCACGACTCGGATCAGATCCCAGGCCCGATTCACAAAAACCGAACCGAAACGTGAGTAGAGCCGATGAGCGCACACCCATCGCGTCTTTTTTTTTTTTTTTTTTTTTTTTTCAAATTAAAAAGGAAAAGGAAGTATTCGCAGCTTTAAACCAGCTGACAAATGATCAGCAGGGTTTTCCTCACCTTAAAGCCCGACAGCGCTCCTCTTCAGCGCGGAGATGGAGAGGATGGAGGAGGAAGAGGAGGAGGATGCGTACAGGAGGAACCGAGCGATGATGATGATGATGATGATGCGCGCTTCGGAGGAGAGAAGCCCACGCCATCCACTCACTGACGATCTGTGGGTCCCCTCCCCCCACGCGCGCGTGACTCCATCCCTCCGCGTCTCCAGGTGTTTGGCGCAGATTTGCGCTCAGTTTTGCGGAATTTTTTTTTAAACTCCCAAAACGTTCATTTTAATCTCCTTAATTCCACTTATAGTTCATGGAAATTTTCAATTTAGCACACCCCCAACACTTTTCTGTGAATGTGTGCAACTCGTTAGGACGCACGATCAAACGTGCGCAGGCGCCCTGACTCCCGTTGCCATGCCAACCACCTCATTCGCCATCAGGGATGTGAACCCACGCTTAATGGGCTTTGCACTTATCTTTGTTTTTCTAAAACATTAACATAACTTCTGCTGAAATGTGAGTGACAGTGAAGTTGATGGAAAAAAATGGGGAAACACTTCAAACCCTGAATTTTGAAGAAAAAGATCAAAATCCATCCATCCATCCATTTTCTTCCGCCTATCCGGGRTCGGKTCGCAGGGGCAGCAGCTTCAGAAGGGAGGCCCAGACCTCCCTCTCCCCAGCCACTTCTTCCAGCTCCTCCGGGGGAACTCCAAGGCGTTCCCAGGCCAGCCGAGAGACATAGTCCCTCCAGCGTGTCCTGGGTCTTCCTCGGGGCCTCCTCCCGGTGGGACGTGCCAGAACACCTCACCAGGGAGGCGTCCAGGAGGCATCCTTACCAGATGCCCGAGCCACCTCAACTGGCTCCTCTCAACGTGGAGGAGCAGCGGCTCTACTCTGAGTCCCTCCCGGATGACCGAGCTTCTCACCCTATCCCTAAGGGAGAGCCCAGCCACCCTGCGGAGGAAACCCATTTAGGCCCCTTGTATCCAGGACCTCGTTCTTTCAGTCATGACCCAAAGCTCATGACCATGGATGAGGGTAGGAACGTAGATCGACCGGTAAATCGAGAGCTTCGCTTTCTGACTCAGCTCTCTCTTCACCACGACGGACCGGTACAGCACCCGCTTTACAGCAGAAGCTGCGCCAATCCGCCTGTCGATCTCCCGCTCCGTTCTTCCCCCATTCGTGAACAAGATCCCCAGATACTTAAACTCCTCCATTTGAGGCAGGACGACCCCCCTGACCCGGAGAAGGCACTCTACCCTTTTCCGGCTCAAGACCATGGCCTCGGATTTGGAGGCACTGAGCCTCATCCCGGCCGCTTCGCACTCGGCCACGAACCGCTCCAGCGAGAGCTGCAGATCTCGTTCCGATGAAGCCAACAGGACCACATCATCCGCAAAAAGCAGAGATGCGATCCTAAGGCCACCAAAACGGATCCCCTCAACACCTCTGCTGCGCCTAGAAATTCTGTCCATGAAAGTAATGAACAGAATCGGTGACAAAGGGCAGCCATGGCGGAGTCCAACTCTCACCGGAAACGAGCCCGACTTACTGCCGGCAATGTGGACCAGACTCTGACACCGGTCGTACAAGGACCTGACAGCCCGTATCAAAGGGCTCGGTACCCCATACTCCCGGAGAACCCCCAACAAGGCCCCCCTTGGGACACGGTCGAACGCCTTCTCCAAGTCCACAAAACACATGTAGACCGGTTGGGCGAACTCCCATGCACCCTCCAGGACCCTGCTGAGGGTGTAGAGCTGGTCCAGTGTTCCACGACCAGGACGAAAACCACACTGCTCTTCCTGAATCCGAGGTTCGACTATACGACAGACCCTCCTCTCCAGGACCCCTGAATAGACCTTACCAGGGAGGCTTAAGAGTGTGACCCCCCTGTAATTGGAGCACACCCTCCGGTCCCCCTTTTTAAACAGGGGGACCACCACCCCAGACTAAAGATCAAAATATAAATACATTAAATTTTATTTCCTCAAAGAAATGCATATCACTTGCCACCTTCTTTCAAATACTTTTTAAAGAAAATCATCTTATACTGAAAAAAGACATTTGTCTTTGTCTCAGAACAAAACCTCATTACTGTAAACACATTACTGAAACAACCTTATTAAACAAACATTATAAAAGATATTTAGGTGGAACAAACAACTAAAAACAAAAAAAAAGTTGTGCTAAAAATTTATTTGCCAAATTCTGTTAGTCTGTACAATAAACAAAAACAGGTGGTTAAATTATTTCCACGATAACAAAAGTCAGTAAAACTAAACATGAGTTTAAAAAGTATCAATGACTTTCTGACAGGGATTACAGTGGCTTTAAATGCTCTCAAGGAACCCGAGGGGGGACACCTGGGGGTCTCGGTGGCATCGGAGGAGCTCTCTGGAAACCAAAAGGAGGTGGACGGGGAGGAGCAGCGCCGTAGCCTGGAGGCGGCATTGGAGGAGGTCCTCTCATACCTGCAGGTGGGGAGGGGATGAATGAAAGGGCTTTGAGATTTGTTTTAGTGAAAACATTTTTAWAGCCACTGATACAAACTGTTAGCTAGTTATCATCACTACTTTTGGGCTTTTCGCTACTTTTAGCTATTAGCTTGTTTTTTGCTAGCATTTAGCTATTTTGGCTTAAAGCTGGCATTTTCTTTCTTTAAGTGTTCCTATTTTTCAGCTTAACCCAATTTCTGTAAATTTTAGCAAACATTCAAGCATTCATGCTGCGTTTAAAATCTCATTTTTAGTTCTCGTGCACACATCTTGCAAACAAATAATAGTCATTATGAGATCGTCCTTAATTTCACAGTAATAAGACACAGAATTCTGATTTATCAACATTTGTTTCAAGATAACTTAAATGTTTCCACCTGAGCTGGTGTTTTATGTGCAGTACAGCCTTTAGTGTCTTTTTCATTGTGAGCCAAAGTGACTTTTACCTCTGCCAAAAATAAAAATAAAATAAAAAAATCTAGAAAAAGTGCCAGAGTTCTCACCCATGGGAGGTCCAAACGGAGCTCTGGGCGGCATGCCCATAGGCGGTGGTGGGGGCATGTTGGGGGGCAGTGGGGCCCGTTGAGCCGAGCCAGGTGGAGCCGGAGGTACCATTCCAGGAGGACCAGGAGGTGGCATGGGCATCTGAGGTATACCTGTGGGACACAAACAGAGTGCGTTCAATTACTATTTGTTTTATCTTTGACAAAATCATTTCAGGGAAGTGCCAAATATTCACAAAATATTTTAATATGACATTAGAAGTGAACACATATTTTAGTGTATTTTCTATATACATTTTTAGCAAGAGAGATAGTAGACCAGCAAGATCAAAAGAAAGCTCAGTGTTTTTATCTTTGAAAATTCAATTTACATTTAAGGCTCTTCTTCTCTTACACCAGTTTGGATTCAAGATAAAATAACTAATTAGTAAAAATAAATAAATACCTGGAGGCATATTGGTTGGGAAAGGCGGTGGACCCGGTGGAGGTCCTCCAGCAGTAACCGGTGGACCTGGTGCCCCTGCTGTTGGAGGCATGCCCATCGATGGGGGCATCGTTGGAGGCATCGCTCCGGGTGGAGGAACGGGAGGAAATGCACCAGGAGGCGGTAAACCTGTATACAAAAAAAAGGAGAGTACAATATGTAATGAAGTGAAAAAATTTTAACAGAACTCATACTCAAATCTCAAAGTGTTCTGGTTGAGCTGATTACTAGAAATTGCAATCGATTGCTTTATTATTGTTATTGATAGAAAAAAACTTTAGCAAAATCATTTAAACAGTTTAAATAAACAAACAGTGCATGAGTTTAACAACTGTTTTCTACAACAAATGATTTTTAGTCATACCTGGAATAGGAATGGCTGGCCCCAGTGAGGTCAGGACCGGTGTCGGTGCAGATGGTGGTGGTGGAGCATCTGCGAACAGCTGGTGAGGTCTGTCTGCCTGCGAGAGAGGGTTCTGCGCAGCAAGCAGCCGCTCCGCAGCCGAGCCRTGGCGCTCCCCTTTGGAATCTTTCTTGAAGGCGTACGACACCGTGATGGGCCGGTTGCACAGATACTGACCATTCATGGCCTCGATGGCCGCGTCAGATGCATCAAAACTGGCGAAGTTGATGAAAGCATAACCCTTGGAGTTGCCGGTGTCCGGGTCTCGCATGATCTTTGGCGTTTGGAGAATGACGCCAAAGGCACTGAATGTGTCGTAGAGCAGTTTCTCATCGATCTCCGGGTCCAAGTTACCGATAAAGATGTTGGCACCAACATCCAGGTTTTTGTTGTGTGCTGAGGCCTTGTTGACCCGAATTGGTTTTCCATAAAGCTTAATCATGTTCATGATTTTAATGGCATAATCTGCATCTTCTTCACTAAGGAACTCCACAAAGCCATAACCTGGGCAAAGAGAAAGATTTTATTTACAAAAACACTTAATCTTCGGGAACAAACTTCTTTCAGGGGTATCCTCTGAGCCACAAAAAGTTGTTTGAGATTCACCTTGATGYTGGCCTGTGACCCGGTCTTTGGGCATGTGTGTGTTGACCACAGGACCTGCCTGCAGAAAGAGCTCCCACAGTAACGGCTCTGACACCTTCTCATCCAAGCCGCCAACATAAACAGTGGCATCTGAAAACAAAGGAATAAAATCCAWAGTGAAATAAGCCAACAAATGTGTACATAATAGACTTTTTAAATAAAATTAAAAAAAATCTCTGTAAAATCAAATTGTGTTTATTTTCTGTTAATTTATGATTTTCAATTTTGCCTCAACACTACAAGGTTCACACACTTTTTTATAATATTATTCTAATTCTAAATTATACAAAGTGAGTCAAATAATCAGTCTGGATGTGTTTATTTTCTGTTAATTTATGATTTTCAATTTTGCCTCAACACTACAAGGTTCACACACTTTTTTACAATATTATTCTATTTCTAAATTATACAAAGTGAGTCAAATAATCAGTCTGGATGTTTTAGTTAAAATAAT